ACTCTTAACATATTCTCTTATTCCATGTACTTGTACACAGACTCTTCACATATTCTCTTATTCCATGTACTTGTACACAGACTCTTAACATATTCTCTTATTCCATGTACTTGTACACAGACTCTTCACATATTCTCTTATTCCATGTACTTGTACACAGACTCTTCACATATTCTCTTATTCCATGTACTTGCACACAGACTCTTCACATATTCTCTTATTCCATGTACTTGTACACAGACTCTTCACATATTCTCTTATTCCATGTACTTGTACACAGACTCTTCTTGCACTATTTCTATCGTATCTGTATTTTCTTGTTATTTGTATATGTCCGTGCTGCTCTGTTGGAGGAGGAGCCTTCAGTTCCTCATCGTCACATCTCCTCTGAAGCTGCTACACGATGATGAGAGAGACTTGAAAGTTGAAGATGTACTGAGTTCCTCGTTTGCTCTGACTTCACCCTTTCATTAAAACCCATCCGCTGGTTGTTGAGTGATGCTGCAGAGAGACAGGCAGGACCTGACCTTCTGGGTGGAGGTAATAATAAAAAGGATCCCCAGCTGTAATTAAAACTGTCTGGTGGTACAGAAGCTGTTTCTCCAACACGTTGTCTGGCAGCACAATGGAGCTGTGGAAGCATCCTGAATAAAACATGGCTGGTTTTGTGCTGCTGATGCACCTTTTGAGCAGGTTTCCATTAAGCTGCATGTCCCACGATTTAAATACTGTCTCTGTTGAGATACGGCCGCAGCAGCTTATAAAAAGTCGCCCAATAACCAATCAATTCTGTCCCCGGAAAAGAAAATCCATGTATTCACTCAGCTGATGGAAAAGGGACTCATTTGTTTTTCCTTTGAAACTTCTTTTTACAACATTTCCCCCGAAAAGTTAGTCAGAATCTGTGCCGACGGTTTGATGAAGGAGGCGGGACCTCATCCATAGTGAGGAGTGCTTTCTGCAGTTAACCACAGCGTCACTATCCACACGTTACGAAACACGCCGTGATAACAGTTCAGATATTACCCTAAGTGACCCAAATGGCATTTCAAGTGACGCGGACTCCCATAATGCACCATGGTTTGCTTGTGTGAGAAAAGACAGGAAGTCACTGAAGTTATTGATGCGCTAACGAGAGAATGTGAAGTCAGTTTGAGGTTTAAATGAAACGTAAACAAGGCTGAGAAGAAGGAGGGAAGGTGGATTGAAATGTGTTTGGATTTCTTCATGGCTTTGTGGGCACAGATAGTCGTGACTTCTTTCTCTCTTCGTCCTATCCATCTTTTACTTTCTGTCTCAACAAGTCTGTCTAGAAATATGTTCCTCTTTGTCATTTACTTGATGAACAATCTCCTCAAATCCTGTGGAGTGATTTCAGAGTTTCATATCAAGAGAAACATACTTTCAGCATTAGCTCATTCTCATAGTTTTATTTCTCTGTAAACTGAATATCTTGTTCAGTTGTTTGGAAGAAACGACTCATTTAAAGAAGTCACTTTGGGATCTGTGAACCTTTTATGCACATTTCTTCTCGATTTTGACGTTTTATGGATTCAATCTTGAACTGTTCATCTACAAAGATCATGGACTTCTTAATAGTGGACTTGATTGTTACAGTTTTTCTCGATTGCTAACACACTAAAATTCTCCGTAAAGGACAATTATTTAAACTGACACTCAAAGAGCAGAACATCGGCTCAAATCTCCAAAACTCTAAACGCGTTTTCAGCTTTTCACACAATTTGCAAATCAACATGGCACTTCTCTCCCACACGTTTCTCCACGTAAGACACAGGAATCTGACATACAGTCACGTGTTAGCAGGTTTAAAACACTGATATTCAAAATGCCTCACACACGGACCAATGATCAAGAAACACGTTCCACCTGACCAAACACCTGGTGGCATCATTGTTGGCTTATCAATCAGGATGTTAGCACTATAAAAAGAACACAGATGAGTACTTTCTTACAGCAACAATGGAAGCCAACATGGAAGCAAGAGGAAGAGGAAGAGGTGGGCTGAGAGTGGGAGGAGGAAGAATGAGAGGTAGAGGTAGCGCTGGAGGGAGAGGACATTGACAAAGAAGAATACTCTCTAATGAAATGAAATGTTATCAACCATGGTGTGACGATGAGAGAGGCTGGACGGAGGGTTCAGCCTAATCTAAGCCGATGAACTGTTGCCTCTGTAATCCGGACCCTTAGTCTTGATATCAGGTTAGTTCCCAGTTTGTAGCTCTGCATAACTCATGATATATCAGAGCTTATCTCTGTTGTGTGGAACGTATTTACTTAATTTCTGTAATTTAATTGTTGGCATGTTGTATACTATAACTGTACACACATCCTGCACAATGTACTGTGGTAGACTTACTGTTATGCAACACAGACACTGAACAACCACTATATCTTTGTTGCTTATCTGAAGGACTGAGAAACAAAGAGGTGGAGGGCTAAGGATGTTCAATGAGGCATAGGAAGCAGCAGCTACTAACTGGGTTTTGGCAAACAATGCATCACACTTAGAGAGATCCGAAGCAGAGTAACTATGTGCTGAGATGCATGTTGCACAATGTTATTTTGAATAAAATATGATTTTTTTCAA